GCAAAGCAAGCAAGGAAGCAAGATCATTCTGCATTCATTCTTTTTTGGTGCAGCTCAATAATCTAAAGTTTAAAACCATACAGAACTCAAGTGTTGGATTACCAAACTTGAAACTTAAACAATGTCCTAACCTATTTGAAACAAAGTTGCACCCACAGGACCATCAAATGAACTTTCTGCTATGTAAGAAAATCACACTGTGCTGCAGTTCCAAGCTTTGAAAACAACATAGCAGTAGTGGATTGGAAGTACCTCTTTCTCTTTTAAAAGAGCGGCATAATTGACCGACAATGCTTTGATTTATGCTTCAGATTCTTGGAGCTTTCTAATCTCTGATCTGTACTGTTCAATCTACAAATGCATCAAAGAATAGGTCACCTTCATCAACTACGAATGAATGCACTGAACACTTGCACACAAGAGAAAACATTCATCCGGTTACAATGAAACATAGATAACAGCTCCAAAACGAGCTACGGCTTCACTCTAACAAAACCATACCACTCCATCCCAGGAAAAGAATACATTCATGATTCATCTCAACCTTGTCACGAAAGGTTTGAATCGAATCCTGAAAGTAGAATCATTACTAACCATGACATGTCCGCACAGTCATACTGAAACCAGCAGCTATAAACAACCTAAACTGTATAAAAGCAGAGGATTAACTTGAAACCTAAACCTCATAGTGACTTAACTTCCATAAGCGATCAAAAATCAAGACCCAGTAAAAGACCACCACATTTTCAAGGGTTTGGCCTCAAACATTCATCATCTAGTACTCATACTAACCACCACTCACATAAGCGATCACACCATTTAAAGCAAGATCGCCAAAGCAACAAAAAACCCACTGAAGCAGAGCAGAAAGCTTGAAATTTGGTAAGATACGAAAAAAGATCGACTTGAAAACCCCCCAATCAATCAGCTACTAAAGAAACCAACAAAACTCAATTAAATTCAATAATAAGACGATGAAAGCTATTCCGAGTCTCGGACCTGAAGCAATGAATGAAACTCACAGATCCACCACCTAAAGAAGTGAAACTAGCTAGCTAGCTCTCGATTTTCCCTCCTCACCATCAATCTCACCGTGGAACCAGAGCTTTGCAACAGAGATGCTGTTCCTGCGGTTCGTTGTCGACGAGGAATTCGGGCCAGCAATGAGGCGCAGAGCCAGCAGCAGCCAAATGGAGAACGCGAGTTCGCCGATTGATAAGAAAAGCTAGGGTTCGCAGGTTCCCTACAGAGAACGGGAGAAGAGGGAGGAGGCGAGGGAATTCTTTCCGGACGGCAGAGGGAAATTGCCGGAGAAAAAAGGGTTACTGCTGTTTTGGAGAAATCGTCGACAATGGCGTCCGGGGAAAGGGATTCGAAGACTCGTCGGCAATCACCATATCGCGAGGAAAGAGAGATGAGCCGAAATGGGTTGGGTAATTAGGGTGTTAGGGTTAAAATGGGTCTGAATGGGTTTTAAGGGTAAAACCCAAAAATACCCTACCCTCTAGGGTCAGAATATGACCCGACCCTATTTTGGCCCTAATAATTAATTGACCCTACCCAACCCACAGGGTTGGGCCGGGCCGGGCCGGGCCGATGGGTAGTAAGGGCCACAGTTACAGCCCTGTCGCTGGGTTCAGGTGGGCAGCGCCGCAGATAAGGCACCGGCTATGGTAGCAGCGGTCAAAGGACGGATAAGCTTAGCTCGCCGGCCGCTGGGCAGGGGATAACAGATTTTTTGTTTAGGCTTTAGGTTGAAAATGTGACTAAGGGTAAGAATGTCAATTTGGTGTATTTTAGGGCGATAAAATTTAAATTTTAGGGCGATGAATAGCGATTCAGAAAACAAAGGGGTCAATTACTAAACGGTCACTGAACTTCGTATCACTAACAAATCACCCACTGAATTTTGCTTCTTAAAGAACTTGTCACTAACAACTAACAAGTAAACTAGGAACAAAAAAGAGTAACAATCTTTTTGCCAGGCTCTTCGTTTAAATTGTGTCGACACTAGTGTGTTGAATTATTGATACACCAAATCAGTAATAGATAAGTAATCGGAAACCCTCTAAAACTAAAGGGTGAAGGGCATTATGATGGTTTTGGAGAGTGCGGATTAAAATTAAATGATGGATGATGAAAGAGTCTGTTTTAGTTGATTAAATGAAGGATAACTTGATCAAAAATCCCAAAAAGATAAAGAGAATGCATAGTTGTTATGTTAGTTATTTCAAATATGACACAGAGAACATAGTTAATCGACTGATTCTTTAGTGACCCCAAAGTTTAGTGACCATTCCTGTAATACAGCCGAAACGAAAAGGTAGGTTGAGATTTGAGAATGAAGGTATCATAAAGGAGCTTACATCAGAGCCGTCCATTTCAATTACTAACAGGTTAAATTATCAACATTGGAAGCTGAAATGTGATATCTAGCTTCAACAAGCCCAAAAGGTAAGCAAAAACATATAAACAAGTTGCTGCACTGAAGTCATTTCTATCCCTACCCCTTCCTGGCCTGGAGCTGAAATTTTGACCCTTTACTCCAACCTCAAATGGTGTCAAACTACTTGGTGATCAAAGCCTCTTGCACTTGCCCATCTGCATAAATGATCACCAACAGAATTTGTCAGACCCAAAAACAAAGCACCAGAGATTCAGAGGAACACCATAAACCACTAAAGACGGAAGATAATAATAATAGGTAACAATGGAGGTGCAAGTTCAAGGGTGGGATATGACTTACCCCTGAGCTGAACAGCCTGGTTTGCTAGTGCATCAGCTTCAGAATTGAATTCCTGGTATAACCAATTGGTTACTCATCATCCTCAAATTCAGACCACATTAACAGTAAACAAACGATTATAAATCAGCATATGCACTTGCCCTCAGAATATGTCTGATCTCAAAACTACGGAACTTGTCCTTCAGCGCTTTTGCCTCGTTACCCAATGCAATTATGTTCTGGTTTTTTAACTTCCATATGCCCTGAATCTGTCCACACAATCAGGAATTAAGGACTACGAGCACGGCTTGCAGTGCAGTTGAAAATAACTAATACTTCATGCACATGAATGGTATAACAAACCTGCATACAGACAAGATTAGAATCCCCTTGGACACTAATGTCTATAAACCCTTTTTTGAGGGCCTGCTTCATTCCCAGAAGCACACCTCGATATTCAGCAACATTGTTCGTTGCAAGCCCCACGCCTTCAGAGAAACGCCACACCTACACCAAAAAAACACCCAGATGAAAATCTGCACACTGTAAATTCAAGATAAATATAGCAAACCGGAAGATAACTTTCTGTCAGGTCAAGGAAAGCTTGCTTCACCATTCTTCCATCAGGGGAATACAGAACAGCTCCTGCACCAGCCGGTCCAGGATTCCCTTTAGATGCACCATCAAAATAAATGATCGCCGGCGACTGGGATAAACATAATAATTCACATTGTTGTTAGAAACATCTATACTAGTAAAGCTCACAAATCAAATCAGTAACACAATAGATTAATATGACACAGATAATTTTCTGAAGAAACTGAGACATCGGAAAGATACTCAACAAGGTTAATTTAAAAGAAAAGTGCTTTAGAACAATATAGTATACTGATGTATTTGCAAGGACCAACTGTCTATGACAATGTTCACTTAGGTTTAGGATCTGAGTCCTCTACGATGCATAGATCTATCACCTTTTTCAAACATTTACATTTAGGGAGATTTTATGGACACGTGATAAAGATTAGTTTCATCTTACTTAAAAGGTTTACCAAGAACCACGGAGAGAATTCAGAACAATAACCACAATGAAACTGTTGAGGCATGTATACACGCAATGAAACGTAGGAAACAGAATCCTGAAGGTCGTATTCCAGCACTGCATGCTGGAGCAACCACGAAACTGAGAAACTCACTGAGCTGGTTGGAACTTGGTTACTGCTTCCATAGTTCTGTAATTTCGGATACTTGTTTGGGGAGGTTTCCTCGACTATAGCTATTCCACACCTCTGCACCACAAAAGGTAAAGAGCAACCAAATGGTAGTTCAGCGAGTTAATGACGACGTTAAAGTGACTACATCCAAATCTTGATTCACAAAATGATCATCAACCACTATTCTGCATACTTCCATGGATTAAGATGTCAAGTTTCTAGTTCATAACAAGTAGAGATATGATCAATACCAGAAATGTTATGTCTAACTTGCTAAGGACTTACATGCACAGTGGGTGTTTCCTGAGAGCTCTTTGAAGAAGACCCAACGTTTGAAGCTGGTGGCTGATGGAAGCAAATACACATGTATAAAATCAGGTCAACCAATGTGTAAGCCTATAGAAGACACTTCAAAGATATGCAACAAGGAAACCAACTAACACTCATTACCACATCAAAACTACAAACAAAATCTTGATAAGATAAATAAAAATTCAGGAAAAGAAGGCATTAAAACACAACAAATACAAATGACCTGAATTGGTACAACAGTAAAGCACTTTCGCAAAGAAAATGTTTTAAGTCCAAGTATCCACATTGACTGAGATTCCCTACACCCATGAGAAAGCCGTTTTCTAAACTGTAAGCTACCTGGATGCGGCAGGGCTCAAGTTTCCCAAAGAGATCAGCCTGAACATCGGTGGCACTAACTGAGTAAGCAGCATTTCTAAGCCCCAGTGATGCAAGGTAATCCTCAGCATCTCTGGGCAAACCATATCCTTTGAATACACTCACTGATGGATCGGAAACCTAGCATATAACCACCATGCCGCAGGTGAGCAATCCAAGAATAGACATCGCCAAAAAGAACACGCAGAATGTCAAGAAAGAGCAAAACATTGAAGGGTTTTCATACTTAAAGCAACAAAAGAACGCAAGTAGCCAACCCACTTGGAGTAAAAGCAATCCTCTTTACCAGTCGTTCATCAGAATGACGAGTACCCGCAATAGAATTTCATCAATGAGCGATTGGGTATAGGAAGGGAGAAGTAACAGCTTACAGAATAACCGGCTTGAGCTAGGCAGTCCGGGAAGCTCTTGTAGATCCCGATCATACCGCCTTTCCTTACAACATAGAAAGCATCTTTCTCTCGCTCCATAGCTGAGAATCAACTTCCTTTCTAGGTTTTAGAAGCTTGGACTGAACTGGCGGAAGCAAGAAGGAAAGATAACGTTATGGGTTGAAACGAGGTAAAAGGGGAAAGTGGTCGATTTCTTTCTTTCTTCACTTCTCCCACGGTTCGACCCTCTACTCTTGCCGTGGTAGTAGAGTCCAGTCTAACAGCTTATGATTAAAGCCTAAATCGCAAGTGCTTCCGTTCCCGACGACGATTGACACCCAAAACTGCAGGAATTTGAAACGTTACTGGACGTCGGGAGAAGAGACGGGATCTATTTTGGGCTTTGGCGGGAAATAAAAAATATAGGGTCATTTTTGGGCTAAAAAATCATCCAAGCCCATAGTCAATGGCCTACAATGAAACCCCTTACGCAAATCAAATTATTAATCCTACAAATAGAAAACACAATAGCTAGCTCCCGATTTACGGGCTGCCGCCGGTGAACGATGTGATCGACCGGAACTATGAATAACAAGAAGACGAACAACAACAACAACAAAGAAACTAACTTCCCGGGGGAACTAATCGACGGAATTCTGCCGAGACTTCACATCTCCTGTCTCCCGCGATTCCAGTGCGTCTGCAAATCATGGTACTCTCTCCTCTCGGACCCTAAATTCATTTACAAAACCCTCTTCTTCCTCGAGAACGACCGCCGACCCGACGACGGTAAGATCTTCCTCAAGCTCGGGCTCAAGCGTGACGGAACAAGCCGTTCCGTTTACTGTTCACTCTCGTTCGATTCGCTCACAGTCGAAACCCCTTATCGAGATTTACGACAAGACCTCGGCATTAGTCTTCCCGATCGTTATCGCAAGCAGCCCAGTACGGTCATTGTGGGCTCCTGTGGTGGCTTGATTTGCCTTACCTACAAAGACCCCGACCCAAACCCCGATGTCGCTCCAAGTATCGACTATGAACGTATTATTCTGCTCAATCCGGCCACCTCGGAGGTAAAGTTGCTCCCCCCTCCCCTGCATCTGCCCTGGTCTGATAACTCATTATGTTGGAGAACCGCTGGCTTCGGGTTCGACCAGCAGACCAATGACTACAAAGTTGTTAGGATTCTTCGTGTGGAAGTGAGACCTACACCTACTGATCACAAAAAACCTTGCTTTCGCATCATGGTTCATGTGTGTGGTACGAGAGACAATTCATGGCGGAAACTCGACGATTCTGTTGGTATGGTGTTGTGGGTGCGTCCATATGTGGGACTAGATGATTCTCAAATCCCACAGTATTTTCCTAGAGTGAGGCTGAGTGGGAGAAAGAGCAAATGTTTCTGGGTAGGAGGGGAGAGTGTATATACAAACGTCTACCAAAGTACCATTACAATTGTTTCGTTTGACATGAGCAGTGAAGGGATTCAGGCCAGCAAAACATTGCCAAATCCCTGCAAGTATGATCGTTATGTCGATGCTCCTGTTGTGTTCATGCTGAAGGATGAGACCATTGCACTCTTTCATTGTCAGAACCGCTTGCCTTGCGCAGGTGGGGATGTCGAACGGATTTTTGAGATATGGGTGTTGCAGCAATATGGCGAAACTGTAGGAGAGTGTTGGTGCAAGTTATTTTCCTTCTCTCCTCCCCTGGGTATGATGAGAAGGCCGAAAGGCCTATCGAAAGATGGGAAAGTGATTTTCAACAGTACTGGTGATCAACTACTTGTCTTGGATCCTATTACTGGCAAAATGTATACTCTACCAGTTGAAGAACGATGCTTCTCTGTTACAATGGAAACCTATATTCCATCGACAACGCCATTAATCGAAGGTGAAACGAAATAAAAGAGTGAATGATTAGGGAAACAATAATTTGGAACTTACAACTACTGGTGGCTTTTGTGCCTGTTGATTCATCAATTTTGTTATGCATGGTCTTTTTTTATGTTAGTCTGTATAATCAAGTAGTGATGATCACTCCATCTTTCTGTAAGGAACAGTACTGCTTAGTTATCATGTTCCCTATCAACTATCAAGTGACATGATCAGTCTCAGTATTAATAAACAAGACCTTTCTGATGAAGGTCGAGTTAAATTTTATTTAGTAAAAAAGACAGCCGCAGAAAAATCAGCAACAAAATTCAAGCATAACCCACCAAAAGGGAAGAGAGTGACCAAGTCATAAAACTACCTTTGTTATGACTTATGAGAGGTAACAAGGGGAGGAGACATGGCATGCTGGGCAAGCAAAGCAAAGCAAAAATAAAAGCCCTGCCTTTTCCATCTGAGAAAATGCAAACAGTGAGGGAAGAAAAAGAAATAAGGCCAGGATGGGATTGGAATAATTTGATCTGTTTTTTCTTAAATTTGTTTAAGAAACAATTGATTTTCAATTTTATTTTTGTCCAAAATTAAAATCGGAAACCGAGTTAATCATATTTGGTTTAAGGATATTTTCTCACCCAAACCTTGCAAAATGAAAGATGTTATAAATTATAATTTCTCAGATGATTCGATTCAGGACAAATTTTGAATACTTTTTATGCTAAATCTATGAGAAGAGCTTGCAAAATGAAAAATGTTATAAATTATAATTACTATTATTGGTACATTGAATAAAAATTACATTGTACAAACTCAATTTGAATCTAATTAACCGTTTCAAATCACAAAACAAAACCAAAAAAAGTTTTCCTATCTATCGTCTCTTTTCCTTCCACTCGTCATATATTACCCCAACCCAATCGAGACCATTTGATCTCGACTTCACTCAACCATCCCCTACTCCACTTCATCAAATCATTCATTTCGTATAAGCACAAAAAAACCTTGGCTTACAACCCGCCCGGTCCAAAACGAAATCAATCAATTAAATTCACAACCCACAATTCCCTCTGTTTTCAGCTAACTTGCTCACCAATCAAGTCCAACCCAACAACGAGAAACGACAGCCCTTGGAACAGCAAGAAGTAGAAGTGAACTCCGTGAGCCGACAACAAGCTCCTGGCCGCTGCCGTGAGAAGCAAGAAAGCCAGCCCCAACTCCTTTTTGTACAACCTGTTCTTCTTCTTCTTCGGCGCCCCAGCCACCTCGGCTTCCACTTCCTTGAGCTTGCTCAGCAGCTCCAGGCCGGACTCCGAGTGCCTCCTCAACATTGTCGTTTTCTCCTCGCCCACCGTGGCAGGAGCCAACTTCGATTCCCTCTCGGCCAGGGCTAGCAGGTCCGACTCCGATGACCGACCGGTTTTCTTGGTGACCACCCACTCGTACGAGCTCCCGAGCTGGAACAGGCCCGAGACCATGGCGTTGAACTTCGTGACCGACATTGTGTTCTCGAAGAGGAGGTAGGGGACAAGGAAGGGGAAGGATTTGGGGGATGGGAGGATGTTGAGGAATGACATGAAAATGGGGACGTAGCAGATTACCCAGAGTGGCAGCTCTGCCTCTGGGATGAACATGGTTAGTGGGAGTATGATGCAGAATAGTGTGAAGGAGTAGAAGGGCAGGATTAGTTTTCTTAGTAGGAAGAAGAGGAAGATCAAGTTGGCCTTCTTCCACATTGATATCTGCAAACAAACAAAACAAAAAAGATTATGACTTGACAATGATTGAGCTGAATTTTACCTACAAGAAAAAAAGTGTTACAGCGATCTAACAATTCGATTTACTGTGACGAATTGGGTTTGATATAGTTTAAACGTCTTCGAGAATCGAAAGATTCAATGTTGGAACCCTAGTATATATCCATTACAAATGACAATGAACTTAAGTGCAAAGTGACGGGGATGCAACCGACCTTGGATTTCAGAATGGCAGGGAGGCAGAGGCGGAAGAGCTGCATAGGCCCAGAATGCCACCGATGCTGTTGCTTCTTGTAAGCTTCGTAAGACTCCGGCAACTCGCAGAGAACCTTAACATCATTGAGGTACACGAACTTCCACCCATTTAAGTGAGCTCTTACTGCAATATCCATATCCTCTACCGTCGTTCTCTCAAGCCAACCGCCGGAATCCTCCAACGCCTTGATCCTCCACACCCCTGCAGTCCCATTGAACCCGAAGAAGTTCAAGAACATGCCATTCACTTGTTGCTCGACCTCGAAGTGGAAGCATAGGTTCACGTTCTGTAACCTAGACAGCAAGTTCTCGTCTTTGTTCACAAACGACCAACGAGCTTGCACCAGACCCACCTCTGGCTTCCCCTGCAATCAAAACCGCGACCCATTTAACGTTATATATAAGACAAGCAAAACAGGGTGGAATTCAAATTTTCGTGATTTCCGTTTGGTTTAATACTGTCAGATGGTCTGAACTTTGCTAGATTGAGGATTCTAAATCAAATTGTAGCACACACATTAGTGTGTTAGTGATATTAGTGACATTTAGGGTTTAAGTCCACCAGAATGGGATCGAATTCTAGTGGGAATGAAGCCCAACTAAAGGTTCCAATTTTATAGAAAAATGACAATTCTAGTACATATATATTTGAAATGATACTCTTATACATAGTGTTTCGATAATATTATGATATCTATGTTTAGTTGACAATTAAAATTCTAAAAATTTCGTTGATATTTCGTATAATCATCAATGGTATGACACAACTATGTAACTCGTAATGAAAAAATCATCTAGAGATTCTAGGTAGTGTCAAATGTCACAGTCTCACAGATAAACACTACACAAATCGTGATTGCCATAATTGAAGAGTAGGTGAGGAATATAGCGCTATAAATAAATGGGTAGTAGTTACCTTAAAGTGGGGGATCGTGAGTTGGAGGAAATCTGGGTTGGGCTGGAAATCGGCATCCAAAATGGCAACGAATTCGTAGTCCTGAACGTAATCACATCCCATTGCCGATTTAAGGTTGCCGGCTTTGTACCCTGTTCTAATCAATCTATGCCTGTAAATGATATTAATCCCCTTCTGCCGCCATGAATGAACCTCTTCATTGATCATAAGCTGCAGATTCGGATCATCTGAATCATCAAGAACTTGAATCAACAGCCTGTCTCTGGGCCAATCCAACTGGCAGGCCGCCCCGATTGATGTCGCGTAAACCTAAAGAACAAAGCCCCAATAAGAAAACAGGGAGATAAAGACAGAAAAAGAAAATTCAGATCTGGGAAATCAAATAGAAAGTCGGCAACTTTACTTACCTCTCTCTCATTGCACATTGGAATCTGGACAAGAACCATTGGGAAGCTAGAAGGGTCCTCGACATCGTAATCGTCGCCGTTAATTTGGGGCTTCAATTTCTTGAACTTGATCCAGAAGCAGCCGAGGCAGAGCACGAGTCGATCCAGAGACTGAATCAAGAACAAGACGATGCAGAATTGGGAGAGCATCATAACAGTGGGAGCAATGTAATCGAGTCGGAACGAGAGCCAGGCCATGTAAGACCATTGGACTAGCCCCTGAACTTCCCACGGCGGCTGGACAAGATTCAAATTCCACTTGTTGTAGTGAGCCACGACTTCCACCACGAGTGCGCCGATTGAGATGGCGAGAAACGCTTTAATAAAGTTGTATAACTTCCCTCTACTTCTGGGCTCCATGTCCTGCTCCTCTACTTCGTCGGCTGAGGCCTCGGATTGGGAGACCCTCTTCTTGATCGATTTGAAGAGGGAATTGGATCCGACTGCGAGCCATGAGATGCAACTGAATGCTCTGTAGATTTTGAGCAGAATGGAGAAGGTGAACTGCTTGGGGCTCGCCGCTTTCTGCTTGTCGGCAGGAAGCAATGGCGAATCGTCGCCGGCGGTGGCGGCGTTGATTTGGACTACAGATAAGTTGTTTGGCTTCTCGATGGTGACAACCACCGAGCTTGGAGCCATCTTCTTGGAAAACAGGGGAATACCCAGATCAGGATTTCTGGAATCAACAATCGGGTCGACCTTCGAATTCAGGTTCGTGGGATGAACATCTTTAATTTCCAGGTACTGGAATCTGGAGGGGCTTTTATGAGATCAGAAATGGGAAAACGGAATCCAGAGAACTTGAGATTGAGACAAGTGACGGAAAACAGAGAAATGAGAGAGAAGTTTCCTCTCCGGGGAAAAAAGGGGGTTGCTTTTTTATTATGGTTTTTGAAGGACCAATATATAAGAGGGGGAGAAGAAGAGCCAAATCTACTAATATTTACTTGCTCTAATGGCGGGATCCAGCTGTCTTGTTACTAGTCTGCTAATTGTTTTTCAACATTAGAAGAAGAGAAGTTCAAGTTCAGCGCATCAGAGAGTCGCCAGTTGGGGCTCGCCTACTCCTTCTGCTGATCATCACCGTCTGATTGGTTGAATAGAAAGTCAAACTGGAGATCATGTTTGCACATTTCTTACATAATAATTTAACATTTTCCTAAGCCGGTGCAGAATTTGGATTAAGTTATGGTCTATGAAGGAGGACACTCTAAAAGAGTTTAAAAATGGGGGAATTTGGAAAGAAAAGAACTTGGGATTGGAAACAGAGGAGAAGCCCATAATGTGAGAGGGGAAAGTGGTTATTAATTGGACCACCGGAATGGAAATTGTAAATTATATGACTTTAAGGGAGGCCACATCTAATTCTTAACAGAAAAATGGTGTTGACAAAACAACAAGAAAAGAAAGCTCATAGTTTTGGAACCAAAATTGGGTGTGAAATGGGAATGAATCTGGCCACGGTGTTGAATGTGGTAGGTGTAAGTATTGTACTCATAAATTTTTTGTTCATTTGATTGTGAATCGGACGACAACAAAGGACCGAGAAATAATAAGAATTTAGAAGTAGATTCTTGTTTCGCATATACATAATAAGCGTGTAAAAATAGGGATGAATATGGCTACCTTGTTGAATGTTGTAGGTAT